ACTGCTTTTCCTATTTCACAAATGTAATAACCTCATACTAGTATAATTCTGTCCATCTTCCCTCTTCTTTATGTTATTTTAGTTGTATCTTTTAATTCTATTTATATTATAAACTCTATCTTACCATTATTTTTGCTTTAAATTATTAATTCTCTTTTAATAGAAGATGAAGTAGTTTTAAAATTTATCCAATTATTTACCTTTTCAATTGTTCTCCATTTCTTCTTGATGAAATGTTTCCATTTGACATGTTGGACATTGTTAATTTTTGGACTAATGTAGTATAGGTCTTGTAGTGGTGAATTCTCTTAGCTCCTGTTTGTCTAACAATGTCTTTTTGTACTCTCAGTTTGAAATATTTTGTTCTGGATATTTAAATCTCTTATTTTCCTAGTCAACACTTAGGGATGTGGGCCATTTTTTCCTTGCCTTCACTGTTTCTCCTATGAATCTAGCTTTCACTCATATCATGGTTTCTTTTGATGGAGTATGTCCTCTTTCTCTAGCTTCCTGAATTTCCTTGTATTTACTTTTCTACATTTTGATGTGTCCTTGTATGGTTTTATTTTATTCATACTGCTTGGGACTGACTAAATCTTGCAGCTAATTGATGTTTTTCATCAAATTTGGGAGAATTTTAGCCACTATTTGTTGTTCTTTTCCTTTTCCTATTCTCATTCTCTTGTCTTTCTGGGTCTTCACTTATATATGTGGTAGACTATGTGTTATTTTTTCCCTAGGTTATTGACAATCTCTTAATTTTTCTGCAATTTTTTTCTTTGTTCTTCAGTTTATACTATTGATACATCTTCAAGTTCACTGACCCTTTTTTTACCTCTAAATTTGTGTTGTATATTCATGAATTTTTAAAAATCTTAGTATATTTTAAGTTATAGAATTTCCATATCGTTCTTTTTAAGTTTCCTTTTATTGCTAAGATTCCCTGTCTATTTTCTTATTGAGACATAAAAAAAGTGTTTTAAATATTTCTAGTAGCTGTTTAAAATCTGTCTGCCAATCTAACATCTGAGCCATCTTCAAATCATAAGATCACATCTTTTTCATGACTGTGACCACAGTTTTTCTTTACTATTGTATTGACCATCTTTTTTTCCTTGACTATGATTCATATTCCTCCATTTGTTTATATTAGTAGTAACTTTTGAAATTTATACAGGATGAGGTGAATGATAGGTTATTGAGACTGGATTCTTTTATCTTCCTCTGAAGCTTGTGGGCAGTTCAGTGTCTCCCTGATTACCTTGTACTCATTTAGGTTTTGTATTTTTTTATTTATTAAGGCATATTTGTGAAATCTCTAGGTACTTCCTAAGTCCTTCTAACTTGATAGGTCTCAAACTCTAAGTTTTGTCACCCCTGAAGATCTTGTCAGAACTTATATATTTAGTAGGGAAGCTCTAGAAAAGGCCTATTCTTGGCCATTGTCTTCACTCCTAAGATGTGGCCTTTCGGTGTCTCAGATAGATGCCTGGGGTCTTAATGAGGTATCTCCATTCTAACTAGGGGGGAACTCCAAAGTCTCCCAGAATTGCTTTGGCCTTAAGTATCTTGTTTCTGCTTCTAATCTAATAGCAGCGCTGTCTGGTATGTGTTCTGAAGTCTTACCTCGTGTATGCCTAGCCCAGACTCAGGTAAGGATTCATAGACAACTTTACACAGATGTCTGATTCCCTTCTCTGTACATGTCTTCCTCACTGGAGCATTTCTCTGAAGTTTCAACCTCTTTGGCAGTTCTAAACTCCGATCCCTTCTTTCTTAGTTCATCAGGATTGTCATTCACTACTTGGGCTTCAGCAAAGCTTCTGTTGTTAGAAAATTCTGCCTACATAAAGAGCCAAGGAAATCAAGAGTCCCATCTCATACATTTTCTTTCTGTCAGGTATCATGATCTTGATTGCATGTTGTCCAGTGCCTCACATATTTTGTCCAGTTCTATAGTTGTTATGGATAATGGCTAGTCTAATACCAGTTACTTGTCATAGCTGCAAGCAGAGACTCCTGTAATTTAGATTTAATAAGTATTATGAAATATTAAGGAATCTCAGCCTGTGCAGGAGAGAGGATAGGCAGGAGACTGGAGGGAAAATGATGTGAGAAGAGTGGAGAGGGTAATAGGGAGGCATAGAGAGAGTGGGAGGAAATTAGGTACTTGTCTCACCCCTCTCAGTTTTCAATACATTATGTAATATAATTTTAACAAATATAAATAGATATGATTTAAGCCAGATATGATGGTGACAGTTAATAATGGTTAATACTGTCCTATTTATATTTCAAGGCCTATTTGAGGAAAGATACTCACATAAAAATAATTACAATAAGATGTATAGGGCTCAAACTGATATTTGCGTGAAGTTTTATTGAGCACAGGAAAATTCATTCTGCTTGATTGAGAAAGATTTCATGGAGGAAGTGATATTTGAATTTGACCTTAAATGATAGGTAAGACTTTATTTGTTAAAGGGTGTGTTGGGAAAGGAGGGAGGTTGTTAAATAAAACATTTCAAAGTGAAATGTGTTAAACACAAAGTGAACAGTGTTAAAATCATTTGCCTGTTTCAGGGATTGTTTACCTTTGTTCCAGCAACAGAAAATAAGTTTAATGCATATATCAAAATTCCAATAGGTGTTAACAACTACCAATTGTGCTACAATAATCACTTGCATATGGAAAAGGTACCGGGAAATTACTCATCATTAGTTTTCAAAAATCTCATTTAATTAGGTTCCTTTATGTGGGAACCTCATTATACATACCATTCTCCTACAGACTAATTGCAAATTGCATTAGAAATATTCAATAAAATTATACTTATTTCATATATAAAATAAATATATAGTACTGTAAGCAAAGAATATTACCTCTTTAAGAGCAACTGACATGAACAGATAACTTGTTCTCAATGTTTGATTTACTGGCTAAAGCTATCTGAATGTGAGGATAGCCAGTCACTTATTGAAAGTGGGTCATATCCTTCATATAATGTCTATTTGATCCTTGAATTTTTATCTCAGTAATACTCATTACTGGTCCTGAAATACTTAGTATACCACTTCTACCCCCTTTTCTTTCTCTCTGCCCCTCTTGCTCTCTCCTCTGACTTCTCTCTGCCTCCTTCCTTCCCTCTTCCCTTCTTTCCCTCCTTTCTTCATCCTGAAGAAATACCTGGGTACACAATAGAAAAATATAGAAAAATATGTGACATTCATCTTTGAAGCTAAATATCACTGTTGATTCCTTCAGTAAAGTAGCCTTGATTGATTGCTTTTTAAAATAGAATGATCCAAACACCTGGTGAGTTCCTGTTCCTCTGACGGCTGCACATATGTGGTGGGACCTGCAGTACTGTGTATGCATCTCAGTACTCTCAATACCGTCAGCTCCTCTCTTCTTTTCTGAGTATGATTTTACAGCAGCAGCTGGGGAAATAGCACACAAAATAGCACCATTTTTTTTTCACTCATAACAAAGTATAATAGTTTATTCTCCCCCCAAAACCTTTCAGACAGAGACCTGTTTCTGTTCTGGTTCCTAGATTTATGTTAATCCTGGATACAATAGAATATACATTAAAAATGCATTGAAACCATATTTTCTTGGAAAATATCTCATATTTGGAGGGCATAGGAAAAAGAGTGGATTGTTTAGTAAATATAGAGTCTGAAGGACTAAGTTAAAATTCTTAAAGTAGGACAGTTAATATTTATTTAGGACATAAAAAATTGTCTAAGTACTATCTAAATGTTTTATATGAATGATCTAATTTATTCCTTATAATTTATGCTATGCGTTTCTTACACTTTTTTGTTAAATTTTGAAACATTAATGAAGATTACTACCGTTTATTGAGCACATGCTGTGTGTCCAACCCTTTAATTGTATTATCTCTAACCCTTACATATATACTCAAAGATAGTTACCATCTCCACTTTAGAGATGAGGCTCAGAGAGGTGAAGCCCGAGATTGCACAGTTTACTGTGGTGTGAGCTGGATGGTGATCTGTGGTCACTCTGATACCCGAGTCTCAGCTCTTGTTCACTAGCTGAGGTAGCTGCTTCTCATTTCCCATTAATGTTTGCTTTGGTGAAAACTACTTTAAAGGAAGGTTATGAAAAGGAGAACAGAAGTGAATTATTTCTAGGCACCCTCAATGACTTCTGTAGTTGAGCCTAATTTTAAGGATTTATGCTCCTTTGCATGGATTAGAAATATTATCATACTTCAAATACTGAAATTTATGATGTTAATTCTTCCACTACATAGCTTAGGTTTACTATTAGTAATTGTTCTTTCCTTGGAGGTTTCAAAAATTTTGTTTCAAAAGGAAATCTTCCCTTGAAGTTTCCAGAATGGTCTATTGAAAGTCAAGTACACTGACACAAATCAATGAAGTGCATATTGCTGAATGTTTTATAAATGTAGTATGGTATTTTCTATTTTCTCTCATGTAATAGTACAGTGTATAATATTTTCTATTTTCTCTCTTCTCTCTTCACAGCATGCTTGGAAGCCTACACAGAGGAGTCTGGGACATTCACTTCTCCCAACTTCCCTAAAAATTACCCTAACAACTGGAAATGCATTTACAGGATCACAGTGGAAACCAGCCACCAGATTGCATTGCACTTCACAGATTTCTCCTTGGAGGAGGCTATTGGTGCAGAATGTGTAGCAGATTTTGTGGAAATCAAGTAAGCACCTTTACTTCATCATCATATTTTTCATTGTTTATATTCATTTATAGTTTTTCCTGGAAAGATTAAGGAAAAAAATATGGAAATTCTCGGTTAAGCTCCCTGTTGTGCTCTTTCTTGCCAGATATAAAGTTTGCCATTTGAAGCATGATTTAACAAAAGAAAAACAGCAAATTGTGTAGGATTCAATGGTTACTTTGAAGTGGTTATTTTATTAGGACTATTTGAAAATAAACTCGAGATTTTATTTGGGGAGAATAAACAGATGCATTACCGCTCTGAAATTAGATACTTGTAATTGTTGAATACCTACTTTATATAAAGTCAATTTAAATTTTAGGCTGTTTGTTGTTCATTTAGTCTAATTTTTCCCCAAAATTATGGTAAGATAGCAACCTTATCTTAAAGTTTTCACAAAGTCTTTTGTGTTTAAATAATAAAAGTCTAGGCTTGTGAATTTCAGTGAAAGGCATTTTTTCTTTTAAGTCTCTGGTTCTTTAAAAGAATGAGTTTAAAAAGTTTTATTTGCAATAAAGGTAAGTTAATTTATATGTTAAGATCTCCCTAGACTGAGTTAAATTAGGCTAATCAATTTGGTGTACATCTGTCTCAAATCTTTTATCTGGCATTTCAAAAGCCTAGAACCATTTTTTTTAGAATAAATATTATTCTCTGATATAAAGTAAGGTACTGAAATAAATCATAGTTATGCCATATCATGCTGAAATAACACAATTTTCTTAACTTAAAGCAGTCAAGCATTGAACTTCAGTGTTGAGTGAATCCTTTTTTCTTTTTTCTTTTTTTTTAGGCCTGGAAAAGCTACAGATTATAAACTAGATTTAAGACTTCCAAAGTTCTTAGAGAAAGATATATTTTCAAAATTTTGCTAAATATGTCAATTTTGATATATTACATTTTAAAAATGTTCAAATTAGAAGGAAAAATTTAAGTTTTCTCTGTAAAATTAAGCAACATTTGTTTATACTGTTAATAATTATGGTTTCTTTGTCCTGTGTTTTCTGACACATTTGCCAGATGCTTTGAAGATTAAATACTTTCTTTTAGTTTGCAACTGGTTATATAAAATATCATGCTAATTATAAATGATGATTGTTCTTTATTAATTTATTCAAATGCTATTTAATAAGGTGAAAAGTTGAAAACTTGAAATTGTGTTTTTTAGAGTGTTTTTTAGAGAGGTTGACTGATGTAAACTGATTCAATCCTAAAGTGCAAATAATGTTAAATGTTTATATATTAATATTATCAATAACCTAATAAATGATCACATCTGTGTTTTGTCTCAGAGATGGAGGCTATGAAACTTCACCACCCTTGGGAAAATACTGTGGCTCAGAGCTACCTCCAAGAATCATCTCTCACAGTAACAAACTCTGGTTAAAATTTAAAAGTGACTTCTTTGACTCACGGTCTGGATTCTCAGCTTACTGGGATGGATCATCAACAGGTAAGCAGGAAAGAGCTGTCTTTTATTGGCAAATCCAGTCTGTCTGGTTCTTTGATTCTTAGATTGCCATGCTCTTATCCATTTTTTTTTCCATCAGTATTTTGTCATTACTATTTGTAATAAACATCAACATTACAAATATTTCCATATTAACAACAGCCATTTTGTTTTTGTTTTTTAAGGTCAAAATAAAGGAAAACATTCTGTTTCTCTGGTACATTTCATCAGTCTGGTTAGGGAAAAAAAGTACATTGATATGAATTAGGGTCATAGGCTAGCTGTTCTTCGGTGATGCAGTTTTGTTTTGCAACTTGGTTTACAGGAGAATAACCATAGCACCAGTTTGATATAGACAAGCAGATTCAACTTTACCAGGAAGAAAAGCATATGCATCATTCCATCTCTCTCTCCTGTAGGTTGTGGGGGCAACCTCACCACGCCCACTGGCACGTTCACATCTCCCAACTACCCGATGCCCTACTACCACAGCTCTGAATGCTACTGGTTGTTGAAAGCCAGCCACGGCAGCCCATTTGAACTGGAATTTGAAGACTTTCACTTGGAGCATCATCCCAACTGCACTTTAGACTATCTGGCTGTATGTATCAAGCTTCAGTTGAACCACTCCCATCTCAGCCAACATGCAAAAATATACTTATTTTTACTTTTGAGATTCAGGTGAAGGAAACATTTAAACAAAGCATCCACAAGAAAAAATTTAAACAAAATAAAAAATTAAAGGAAAATTTAATGAAAACAACAGCCTTCTAAGGACAGCATGTACTACTGAATGGCTTGACACACTAAGTATTTATAATATAGTGAATATAGACTATTAGGACATGGTAAAAATCTCCTGAAAGGGATTATGAGATCTATCATAATAATTATATATGTAATTTCTATACCTGCATTGAAAAATAACAATTTAGAGGACTATATTGGTGAGTTAGAGAAGATAGTTTAAATCATCCAAGTAGACCTTTTTACTGTAACAGGAGTTCACCCTTGTGCATTTAAAAAAGTCTAAATAAAAATGTATTGAAGTGTCATAAATTATAAACTATTAACTCAGAAAGCAAGGTGGACAACTGATAACAGCTATGGTGTCAAAAATATGTATTAGTCCTTCATTTTCAGTCATCAGATTTCAACCTGGGTTCACATGCTTACTATTATACACAGCCATGGCTGAATGGCCCTAGTTCATGGCCCAAGTTTATAGACATTTAAATATAATTTTAAAGATATTTAGTTTAGGGCTATTCTCTTGTTGTGTCATATATGTATTTCTCCCCTGCTTCTTAAAGATTACAAAGTCCTTTAGATAATGTTTATAGCCATGATCATCTGAAATTCACAATGTTTTATTAAAGGTATATGATGGCCCAAGTACAAGATCTCATTTGCGAAGTCAGCTTTGTGGGAGTGAGAAACCGCCTCTTATCCGTTCTAGTGGAGACAGCATGACTTTAAAACTGAGGACAGATGAAGATCAACAAGCAGGTGGCTTCCTGGCTAAGTATAGGCAGAGTAAGTATGAATACTGGCTGTTGCAAACCTTTAGCAAATCTTCAATACCTTGATGAATGAAACAAATGGAAATAAGTATAGCCCATTGGTTTGAGCAACTGAAGTAATCTTAGCTCTTCATGAGAAAAACTGATCTCTATTTGAGGGAGAAATGCTTGTGCATTAAATTTAATGTCATATACTAAAGCATGTGATAAACTATAGAAATATAGGGAGTACTTAATAAGCTGAGATAGTTGTAGTTCAGCTAAAGATCAGTGTGCCAGGTTATCAGCAAATGAGCTTTCATTTGTATCAGACATGTCAGTCTTCTAATTAGACATTATTCTGTGTGCATAGTATCTCTCACACTATTTTTTGTTTGGTTTGTACCTCAAAAGGTACCTTTATTTAATCACATGGTTCTCATGAGTCATACATAAAGTAGGCACATTCTTTACTGTGTAAAAATCTGGTCTTTGTAGAGATACCATTTTAAAATCTGCTTTCCTATGAGGTAACATGGCAGATTATTGGAATACTGAACAAAAAGTCAAGGGGCTTAGGGGTTTATCCTGCCCCCTAACTCCTGAGAGGATTGTTTTTCTTCTCTGGGGCTCCATGATTTCCTCTTAAAAAAGGAGATTAAATAAGTTATTGAGAAAGCTCCCTTTTAGCTCTAGAATTAAATACTTTCTAAAGTTGGTTTCAAAGTGGACATCTAAGAAAACAAAGTTTCCTTGAATTTATGTTATTAAATAAACACTTGTGTTTTTGAAAATATACTTCTGTGCCCACTAAATTTAAATTTATCCATAATTTTAACACAATTATCTAAAAATGGAATTGAAAGTCACAAGATCATGATCTGAATACACAATATCCCTTTGGATTAGTTGAAACAATAGATGTTTAATGTTGGTGAATTTGAAGATTAACTTTCACTTCATCTGCGAGTTAGGGTGAATTCTCTACATAGTTTTGAATACTGAGTTTTAATGATATATAGTTTTGTTCTTCAGAAATATATCATTAGTATATGAAAAGCTCTCCTAAATTCTATCAGGGACATATCTGGTTGGTTGAGCACATAAAAATTTTTGTAATTTTATTATTGCATGCTAACTTGTTTCTTGGCTATACTCAGATTACTTATTAAAGGTCCCTTTCTTTTTCTTTATTCCTGTGATACTTAATTTTTCTCTCATAATTTCAGAACACTAAAGGAGTGACTTATGCACATGGGACATAGGTGCCTAAAGGTAAAATCAGAGCTAGCCAATGAGACTTTCTGTAAAATTTGCCATTTGAAATTTGCAGATAGTGTAATTTCTGAGCACTGAGAGGAGCCCATATGGTTTAATGGAGTGTATTTTCCTCTGCCCTGTTTTGTAGGCACATTGTACCATTTGCCTAATAGGTGTAACTTCTCATAGGCATCCAAGACAGCACAATTATTCTTTACAAACCCTCCGTGGACAAAACTGTGATCTAAACATTTTCAAAAATAAAGTTTGAGTATTCCCCTGCCCTAGCTGTGGAAGATTTTGTGGAGCCACAAGTGTATACTTTCCTATACCAAAGTTTATAAACCGTGTTCTAGCCACCTGTCAGGAAGCAATAGAAATGCATCTATGAACCACTCTTTTCAGAGATGATTTTTTCAGTAAAATGTTTATTTTCCCACTTCTTTTATCACACATCATACAGACAATATGAGAAAGACTTGCAAAAGTTATGCATATGCCTTGTTGAAGTCATTAGGTTTGCCTGAATTTGGCACTGATTCCAGGACTAGCCATACTACCAATAGGACCCATTGTAGTTTTGTTGAATATTCAGCTGAGGAAAATGCACCATTGGATTAATAAGTTTCTTCAAAATTTAAGACTTTCATTTCTTTTTCAAACCCTTTACATTCCTTTATTCATTTGGTACTTCCTGATGACTGACTACAGGAATAATGGAGCCTTTATTGTGAATTTCATGCTGACTTTTGAATTTTCAACAAAATCATGTTGTGATTCATTTTTAGCATTCACATAGGACTTCTCGTTTTTAAACTGTTGGATTTAAAGGTCAGGATTTCTGTCCCTTATAAATGTTGAAGTTAGAAAAAACAGAAGTGTAGAATGTTTAATATACTTCTCTTAATAAACAAATTAGGCTGATCCCCATGTAGTGCTAAGCTATTCTGCCTTCTACCAAGATCACAGGAATATGTTGCCTATTTTAACATAGGCAATTTTCATGACACTTTAAAGTTTATGAATTCAGTTAAGTATTAGTTCACATTTGTTCTCAATGGAGACCCTTTCACCAGAAAAATACTGTATCAAATATATCTAACACATGTGCATGTATGCACATATGCATATATACATTAATCTAAGGGTTTACTTAGAGGAAAATCTCACACACACATCTTGGAGCAATTATGATATATATGGTAATGGTTCTTACCAACCATGGTTATTTTTTCCAGCATGTGACAACGTGGTGATTATGAATCGAACCTATGGCATCTTGGAGAGTATACATTATCCAAATCCTTATTCTGATAATCAGCGTTGCAACTGGACCATTCAAGCAACGGCTGGCAACACTGTGAATTACACATTTTTAGCATTTGAATTGGAAAGTCATGCAAACTGCTCCACAGATTATTTAGAGGTATGTTTTTTAAAGCTAAAGAAGTCACTGTATTTTGAGATCAAGGTAGCCAAGCTAGAAGTCATCAGGCTTTGTAGAACTGAATCTCTAAACCTGCCCTACACAATACACCAACTACACATGGCATTTGAACAGGCGTATTTCATTGCTCTTTCACTGTATCATCTTAATATAAGATATTTAATCTACTAAATTATAGACAAAGAACTGTGTTTTTAGGTTTCAGTGTAACTTCTGGACCAATTGACCTCATATTATCTAAATAATGTGGTAGTAGAAGAATAACTTCTTTTTTGTTGTTGGTTGTTTTTAAAGTTTATTCTCTATAAACAAGAGATGAGAAGATGTTTGGCTATCATGGCTTTAATACCTAATTTGCCTCATGCTAGCAATAATTTTGATTCTTGTTTTTATTTTTAATTTTAATTTAATTTTAGTTAATTTTTATAAAATAAAAGTTTTTATTTGTTATAATAATAACCACCAGTAACATTTATTCAACTCTCCATACCGTGCTATGTAATAAAAGTTGCTTGAAAATGAGGCAACCCAAAATATGAGGCAATCTGCTATTTTTACTAAGATATTTTATTTATAAAAGCTTTTTTGTTAACTACCCTATACAACTTTTTAGGAGCATAGACTGAAAAGTTAGGCAGCTATTTATTTTACTTTTTAATGTAATTATGTATTCATATAAAAATTATATAGTTTATAAACTTACATTAATTTACTAATGTTGGTTTACACTTTCACACTTCATAAAATAATTTTATTCAAACTATTTACATCTAATTTGACATCCAGTTTTCATCACTAATAAAATAACTTTTGGGTAATTTAACACGCCATCTTTATATCCATCTGCATTGTTAATATATAATGTTTCAGATCCACAGATGATGTTTCCACTACAATCTTTTCTGAGGTGACAAGTGCCCACTCTGGTAACATTAGCACATTTCCTCCCATCCCACCCATAACACAATGATTCGGTGTTTCTTTTTAAGGAGATCAGTGATTTCTAGAAGTCTAGTTCACAAAATCTTCCAAAACCCAGCCTTATAATTTCTAGGACATATTTACATGAAAAAATATCCTTGTACAATTTTCTCAACCCTGTTTTTACCAACATTTAAAAAGAATCTAGCACCAATTGAGGTTGAGGTTAATATATATTTTCCAAATAGCACTTTTTTTTTTCAAAACAAAGAGAACATTTCCTATATTTTGAGAGACTCTGTGAGGTCCTGAATATATGAATTTCTTTGTTTCTGAAGGATAACTTTTTGGGTAAAAAAAAAATTCTTGTTTTGTATTTAGAAAAGTTCAATATTATAGAAATAGTAGCCATAGTGTTCATCCATTAGGAAGTTATATTTATTAGTATTCAAAAAAGTATGACACAACATAAAGCAGACTTAGAAGCATGAGCTTGACAATGGTTTTAATCCACGTTCCTTGATTTAGTGTTCAGATGGTCTTCACAAGCTTAGTAATCCATGCATGTCTCATTCCAATCACCTGGAGCCATCCTTTTATTTTCTTCACATGGTGAGGTTTTGTTCATGCTTTAGAAAATATGGAAAAATTGGTTTCCCAGCCCCTTATTCAACCACAAACACAGCAACTTACTATATTATATTTGTGCCAATTGTGATTGTATCCACATGTCATAGTGGACTATGTGCTTTTTGAAGGTTTAAACTGTTTCCTACTAACTTTGTAACCCAAGCACTGATTATATAGTTGGGACCTTAGCAGAGTTCAATAAGGTCGGGTTAAATTGATTATTGATTATCACAGCCATATTTAGCATCAGCCTAGTGATAGCTATTAATTAATGAGAAAGAACTGAATTTCAAACTGACTTTCTTGTATAATTCCTATACATTCACTGCAATTCTGCCACTATGAGCACAGACCAAAGAGGCTCCTGGCCTCGCAGAGCTGTGCATGTATAACAGTGTGCTGGGCACCATGGCAGTGATTTGAGAGAGTATGATGCAGAAAGCTGCAGAGAGGAGGCAGCTCCTGAACTGGACTTACAAGAAGGCTTTGGCAGAAGACGGGGGAGGAAATGTGATGAAATCTTTCCAGGGTCTGGACTCTGTGTCTTGGGCCTTGAAGATGGAATGGTAACAAAAAGCTGGATCTGATAATTTTTGGAGGTGTTTGAAAATTGTCAAATAAAAAATACTTGTTCCAACAACTGCAGAGCAGCTAATTAGAGGCCCTTCATAGAGCGAGAACCAAACGTTCAGCCCAGCCTTCCAAAGAGTAACACCGTTGCCAGAGGGAGGAGATTTTTTCCACTTCTAGAAGCCAAGGTCTAAGACCAGAGCAATTGCTACAATGGCTCATCTATGGTGGAAATTTCAAAAACACAAATAACCGTTTAAGGAGAGAAAAGCCACAAACACAAAATCTAGTTTCTATTATTTTAATAACTTGTAGTTAAAGGGTTTTTTTCAAAGGACTTAGCCAAGTCCCAACTGAGTGACTATTACTGCAGCCAGAATTGCATTATTTTGAATTAATAAAACTGGAACTCTGAAAGGACTTGATTAGGTGCTGGTCAGACATTGTGCCCAACACAGCTGAGAGGTATGGGTTGGTAAAGATCCCATTGGGAAGCTAATACCCCCTTTATTACTTTGTCCTCTGGGCAAAAGCAATGATTCAGATTTAGAAGTAAAATATCCAGTGGGAGGAAGGATCATTTCCTTAAGGAAAGAAGACCCTATGGCCCATGTAATTGTAGGAAGTCTTTCAATTTCCTTTCAACTTTCAAATTAGGGATTCTTTCAACTTGATTTCACTTTTTCTTTTTAATTTTGAGTATGACTCTCCACATGGAAGAAGAGATTTCTAATAGGTGGTTGAGTATACAAATGCAAGTCATGGGTTTGGGAGAAACTGGCACAGAGATGTACAGGAAAGCCAGAGTGTGCAGGAGGTCTGCAGGGAGCATGTGTGTGGTGAGGAGAGGAAGGAGGCTATTGTGTCATGAAAGCTGGAGGAAGAGAAGGGGACTGGTCAAAGGTAGATGCACTCAAGGTGTCACAAAAGATCTGGGCTGCAACGTATCCCCTGGAGATCAGTGTGACTGGGCAGAGCAGTGTTTGAGGGTAGTGGTAGCAGGAGCGAGATGTGGTGTTAACCACAAAGGGGAGAGAGTGAGTGCAAAATGAAGTCCAAGTCCATGAACTCAGCGTCCCTATTCTCCCGAGGAAGTCAGCATAGTTGTGGCCTCTTTTCTCTCATCCTCATCTACTATTTCCCTGACTAGTCCTCAAGTGCCTAGTGCTCACAGAATACCCTCTGCTGCATGTTCTCTTATATGTCAGAGTCTTAAAATGTGGCCCAGGAGTGGACACCAGGGCCAAGTATCCTGGGGCTGTGTCATCTGGTTCCTATACTTCTGTCATTGTAGGCTGAGGTTAAATGGGTTTATTGTTGGTCAGGTCCTAATGTGGGATCATATGAACAACCCCAGTCTCCAGGGCACTTTGGCATGAATTGTAATGGTTGCATAGCCATACACAGGATACTATTCTGAGTAAGTTATGTTTGACTGTTCTGCCTGATAACTCTCTCACATCATAAATATGGATTCTCTGGTCTGTACAGCATTATTCATTTGCATGTAGCCCCATTGGCCATTGGTTTACCACTTCTTCAAAACTGATAAAAATGTCAAACAAGATGATGCCTATTTTAAATGCTCCAAAATTATAGGTTTCTTTGGATAAAATAATCTATTACTGAACACTTTTGGCATAGCACAATCACTTGGTAATAATAATAGGTGATCTTTATTAAGCACTTATTATTTTCTGGGTAGTTATCACAGCAGCCTTGTAATGTAGGAAATATTATTATCCTCACTTGATTGGTGAGGTGACGAAGGCAAATTCAGGCTGTCCACAGTCACAGTGATTATAGGCGGAAAAGCCAGGCTTCCTATGGACACTGGCTCCAGGGTGATGCTCTTAGGCATGACACCACACGTCCTCTATCACACTCTCAAAATTTTCTGTCACCTTCAGAGGTGATATTAGGGAGTATCCATGGAACCCTCTGATCTACTACTCTAGTGACACTGTCACGAAGAGAAATTTACTTAGCATGACTTCTTCTCAGGTACACAGTGGTCATTTATTATAATCACTTCTTTCTTTGCTACTGGCTATTTTTAGTGTCCAATTTAGAATTTTTCCAAAAATTTCTGTCAATCTTACTCATTTGTGAGATTCTGGAATACCTATTGTTCACATTTTGAAAGCTGAAACATCTCCCCTTGAGACCTCTGGCAGTCCTCCTGTTTTTCCTTGTTCTGTTTTATACTCTTGGTTTCAGGCGTCCACTCAAACTAGGCCCTGTAGAAGAGAGCAGTGTTGGCGAAAGGCCAATTATTCTGAGGAAAGTAGGAAGCCTCATGACACGGGAAAAGCTGGAACAGCTGGGAAAGGGCAGGAACAAAGGCAGCTTAGTGGGGTCCCCCTCTTTCTTACCTTTGTTGCTTCTCCCTGCATATGTGTACTCCTTTCTCTCCCCAAAAGCTTCCTCTGAGTTTCTGCAACCTCACAATTTTAGCTTCGATATGGCTGCCCAGTCTTGACTTCACATGACCGTTACCTCGAGCACTTATGACCAACTAGACTTGCCCTTGGTGACAGGTTAGCAGCACAGGTGGCTCATCTTTTTGAGCCTGACACCCAAAGCATGGATCTGGCCTACTTATGAACGGGGACCCCTCTGGGAGCACCACCTGCTTTGGCCGGGAACAGGGAGAACCAGCCCTCGGGCCAGCACTGCTCACAGGTGGGTGGGTAGAGGGAGAATCTCTGAGCAGGGGCGTGGGTCTGCTGGCATGCCAAAATATTTCTCAAACGCCATAAACTCAGCAAGATTACAAAATAAGGTCGGTGGTGAGTGTACCTTCCAGTACTGCAGAATGCAATTCACTTCAGCCTGAAAACATTCATCTAAAGAAT